AGGAATGCATTGTGTACATCCATTTGATGAAGCTCCCACCCTTTTGCGACAACAACAGCCAAGAGAGTTCTAACGCTCACCATTTTTGCTACAGGAGCGAAAGTTTCAGTGAAATTCTCACCTGGAATTTGACGATTCCCAGCAATAACTAGCCGTGCCTTATACCTCTCAATACTGCCATTAGAATGGTACTTGATCTTATAGACCCACTTACATGGAAGTGCATGTTTTCCAAACGGCAAGTTGGTAATACGCCAAGTTTTATTTTCCTCAAGAGCACGTATTTCAGTACTCATGGCATCCATCCATTCCTTACTCTTCATTGCCTCCTTAAAAGAACAGGGTTCAGATCTTGCATCAATAGCTGCAACAAAGGCTTGATGTTGATTAGAGAATTTAGTTAACGTGACATAATTATGTATTGGATATCGCATACCTGAGATGGGAGTAGGTGAGGTGATATCGTGACTTTGTGCATGTGTTTCCGCCAAGTTACATTGAGATTCACTAAGATATTGAGGCAGCTTACGGACACGTGTAGGACGTGATGCTCCCCTTTCCTCATGAGCTGCAAGTATTGGTGTTGTTGGAATTACATCAAGAGGACTAGGCTCTGGTGTGCTCCCCCTTTCCTGCAATGGTTCTTGGTCTGTCTCTGTGGTACCTTCAAGAGAAATGGTAGCTTCATCATCCTCATTGTCAGCAAAAAAACCAGCCACTGGTCTTTCATCAAAAGGCATTGTCAAAGGAAGTTGAGGAGGAGAGGAAGTGACTGATGTTATAGCAAAAGGGAATTCTGTTTCGCAAAACTGCACATCTCTTGACACAAAATATTCATTTGTCTCAAGATCATAAACTTTCCACCCCTTTTGTCCATAAGGATACCCTACAAAGACACATCTCCTTGAGCGCAGACTAAACTTATCTGTGGGTTTGGGTTGTGTAGTGGCGTAGCACAAACACCCAAATACTTTTAAATTGCTATAGTTGGCTGCATTGCCATGAATGAGCTCATGTGGAGTCTTTCCACCAAGGACCTTAGAGGGCGTTCTGTTGATGAGGTGTGCTGCAGTTAATACACTTTCTCCCCAAAATTCGATTGGCATATGAGCTTGGAACAACAAAGCTCGTGACACATTCAATATATGTCTATGTTTGCGTTCGACTCTCCCATTTTGCTGTGGAGTATACACACACGAAGTCTGATGGAGAATACCTTTCTCACGGAAAAGCTCAAGCATATTTTTAGACTTAAACTCAGTTCCATTGTCTGAACGAATGATTTTTACTGATTTACCAAATTGATTGTGCACCATAAGAAGGAACCTGCGCATTTTCTCATAAGTTTCACTCTTCTCGCTCATTAGACAAACCCACACTGAACGGCTAAAATCATCAACTATCGTTAAAAAATAATGAGCACCAGAATGAGAAGAAGTACGATAAGGTCCCCATATATCACAATGAAGAAGTTCAAAACAATCATTGCTATGATGATTACTGACAGAAAACATAGTTCTAGTTTGCTTGGCCCGACAGCACACATCACAGGCCTTATTATCTACACTATCAAATTTAAATTTTGCGACAAAAGGAATCATTGAAACAGCTTCAAGAGAGGCATGACCCATCCGTTTATGCCATAGCTCTAGAGATTCATGGGATCGAACTGCAAACGCTGCTGTTTGGTTCTGCCGAAACACATACACTCCGTCTTTGAGATCACCCAACCCAATCACCATCTTCAGCTTGCGGTCCTGCAAAACAAAATTCTCATTAGTAAACAACACATCTTCTTCTTGTTGTTGCACCAATTGAGACACAGAGATCAGATTGCATCTCAGATTGGGTACAAATAATACATCAGATAAAAGAAAATGTGGATTGAGTGCAACAGTTCCTTTCTTTATGGCATGTGTTACGGCTCCATTAGATAGCCCTACTGCAAGTGATTCAATATTTTTAACATTCTCCAACAGTTCAAGTGAGCCAGTCATGTGACGAGACGCACCATTATCAATGAGCCAATCATAAGAAACAACGTTACCAGATAATTTTTCAGCAGGAGGATGAGGTTTATCCACCAATGAAAGCAAGCGCGTCACCACGTCTGTCACAACTTCTGGAGTTAGAGCAGAAAAGGCAGCAACATGTTCCTGTGACTCCTTAGTTGTTGCAGCATTTGCACTATTTTGTGCAGTGTGAAAGTTGTTAGAGTTTAGATGACTTCGTCCTCCTGCAAAGCGCCCACGTCCTCGCCCCCTGCCACCTCCACGATTGGGATAGCCAAAAGTTTGCCAACATTTAGATGATTCATGGTTAGTCTTTCCACAATGGCGGCAAGGTACACGCTCAGCGAACTTCTCCATCCCTGTAGGTGCTACAGTTTGTGCAGCACAACCTATGACATCAGCTCTTTCATTTTGTGTACGAATTATGGAACGATGTGTTTCCTCCTGTGTGACAATGGCATAAATCTTGTTCAGTGATGGGAGTGGTGTGGTATTCAATATCTGTGTGCGTAGGTGCCCGAATGTGGCTTCATCGAGTCCCATAAGAAACTGGTATACTCTATCGTTCTCCTTCTCTTCCTCTACTTCTTTTGCATATGCGCATGTATCTCCACAAGTACAAGACTTGTACACTTTACTCCCTTCAAGCTCGTCCCATACGGCTCGCATTTTTGTGTAATACGCTCCCACACTGCTACCTTGTTGTTTAATTGCAGACAAACTTGCTTTAAGCTGATATACTCTTGGAGCATTTGCAACTGAGTAACGCTCTTTTAAGTCGTCCCAGAGGTCCTTGACATTATCAAAACACTTGATGAATGGCTGGAGCGTAGGATCAATAGTGTTGTGTATCCAACCATTAATCATTGAGTTACACATCTCCCATGCATTCCACTCTTCAGTGTCATTCTTTCTGGCGTCTTCACAGACCCTGTAATGAACCCCAATTTGTTTTTGGCCTTGAGTGCGTTTTTCATGAGCTTAGCCCAATTCTCGTAATTGGCTTCACCTTTTAGCATCACTGTTGTCAACAAAATCCCGGGATTATCAGACCCTCCCAGATAGAAAGGAGAGCCATGATCCGAGATTATTTTTGTTTTGCTACTTCCCTCCTTAGCCATTCTCAACTGACCAAGCTTTCGCACTTGACGTAAGGCACTCACTCAGAGTTTCAATTTTGCGGAAGTGTTTAACAGAGATCGTGCTCTGATACCATAATAATTTGGTATCGAACTAACTTTCATTTGAATCAATTGAGTTGCCTTTATAGGCATTACAATAGTTGTTATACATTTGAATACAAACTTATCTACAACTATACTATCTTATCTTTTACTTAACAAACTCATCAGAGAAAACAAAATAAACAAATAAAATATTCTGCAACAGCTAACAACTACTAAATATCTAACGGCTAGATGACTGTTACAAACAGCCTACTAATTGCAATAGTTAAGCTAACGACTTGATGACTTTGATGACTGTTACAATCCTTGCTAACAGCTTGAGCCTACTAGTCCAATATCCTTGCTAACAGTTAGGGAAGCACTTTAATTTCCTTAAACCCATAATAATGTTCATATTGGTATTACCGTTTTGCTGAAAAATCGACAATCTTCCACAATTTTAGATCTTGTTGATAATAAACCATCCTCTGATCCACAATTTCCTTTGATCTCTCTAGTGATAGCAAGATAGAACAAACTGAAACTAAATCAAATTCACAAGTAGATATGAGTGAGTCTAATTCAGAGAATTTCTCAATGACCAAGGATGTGAATGGCATGGAAACTTCTGATGGGGCAGTTTCTAATTCACATGAACCCATGACTTCAGCGATAATTTAAGAAGCTACACTGTCGTGCGTTCATCTGGCGGCAGAGTTCAACGATAATGGTAAAAAAAAAAAAATAGGTACAGCTGAAAGGAGAGGAGAGAGAAAAAGTGTGGAAGGAATTGAGAAGAAAGAAATAGTTTATTTATTTTGTAAATATGGATCGTTGAATTAGACTGTAATCGAACGGTCATGAAAGGGGTAGATAAAAGTAGGCAAAGTGGGAGTAGTTAGAATAACCTATCCCTCTTTATATACATTATTCTACATTTGTTTTATTTTAATTATGATTAATTTTATCCCTATATTTACATTTTAATTTTGTTACCTATCTTATATGTGAGGTAATGTATTGATAAAAATTTTCCCCTCCTTATAAACTATCTCGGTTAATGTTTTAAAATTTGATTCAAAAATTAAACTACCAAAACTCATAGATGATTGTTCATTGATTTAATAAATTAAATTTATAATTCAACTATAACTAATTTTTAATTAAGTCAGATAATATTAAATCATTTAACTCAACTAATTAAATTTTTAATTGAATAATAATTATATTGCAATTAAGTTAGATAATATATATCAGAAAAATATTTCTGCAGTTATTACAGATAAGTTATTTGCATTTACTTCCAAAACGACGTCGTTTTGGAATTGAAAAATTATAATTATAAAGACTATAATAATCCTGAAATAAATTAAAATTACAAAAATATCATGATTTTCGTCCAAAACAACATCGTATTGAGCTTATTGTAGATAACTTATCTGCAGTAACTGCAGAAAAAGTGAACAATATGCAGTCACTGCAGAAAAAGTGAACAATATATATATATATAGGTAAATCATTTGACACCAGTGTCAAGTTTAAAGTTTGACACCTTGTCTGACAGTCATTAGATAAAAAAGATCAATAACTCTAATTTGTAAGGTATACGATAGTTTTGATATTTATATATAACCGATTCCCTATGTAGTACGTAGTATATTGATTTCTAGTCTCTGTCACACGACCTTGTCAACACGCAAGAAAGACAAGAGTAACAAATGCATCGAAAGTAACAACGCAAAAACAAAGACCAAACCCAACAATTACATTGAACACTCGACAATGATCAAGGTTGTTAAAATTTAATGTCTTCAATTAATGTGAAAATGGCAACGAGAGTTGGTACACTTTGTCGAATTTTCTGCTCATGTTAGGATTTTGGTTTGGTACTTTTTCTTTCTTTGTTCATACTTTAAGCTTTTTGTAATATGTATTCAAAAAAAAAAAAAAGCTTTTTGTAATAAAAAATTAATATAAAACTTCTGTGTCTATAAATTTATTTATTTTTAAATTTTAATAAAATTTCACTTATGCAATGTTTTTATAAAGAAACTGCGTAAAATTTTTAAGTTCATGTATTTTAACAAGATCTCACCAACTGAAGTTATGTAACACAATTACTCAGCTTCACAGTCTACACTTAACGAGTAAACACAACACTTTTGAACTTTTAATCTTAGTCTTCATATACTCATTCCATTCAATCATATTGTACATGTTCTTCTTCTCTCTCTTGTGCTTTTTCTTTTCTTTTCATTGTTTTCCATTTTACAAACCCAAGTGCAGAAGATAGTTGCCATTGCTTTTAGCAGATTGGTGACCATAATCAGCTGCTGAAGAGCAAGAGAAGAAAAGGGTTCATTGGAGAGGGATGAGAGAGTGAGTTAAGGGAACATACAGCAACACATGGAAGAAGCAGAGAAGGAACTGGAGAGAAGAAGCAAGTTTCTTAACAGTTTGATACAAAAGAAGAAAGCCATAGAACAACAAGGGCAGCATGATAGCCTTAACGTTCGTGTCAGAGCATGTGACATGCCTCTCCCTTTGCAGAAACATGCCTTCCACTGTGCACGTGACCACCTCGATTCTATGCCTGCCAAGAAGCTTGACAGTAAACTTGTGGCTCTGGCCCTTAAGAAGGTCACTTTTTTTTCTTTAATCTAATGGGAAAGTTTTCTTTTTCAAAATCTGTTTCTGGGTTCTGATCTTTGACACATAATACAAAGTCTGCATTTTTTGTTTGGATGCTTTTAGTGTTATGTGAAATGTTCAGATATTGGAAATGTTATGTTATCAGTTGTCAGTATGTCTTGGATGGAGCTAAAATTTAGTGTCTTTATCTGTCCTTTATTCCTTATTTAATTTAAAGTTTAATTTTACCTCGTTGATTTGCCCAGCTCAAGTTTCATTGTTAAATTAAAAAAAAAAAATCTAGCATAATCAGGGGATTAAGGATAACCAAATTTATATGCTGATTTTGATCTTGGGTTAGGTTAATTGGGTGTACATCAATGGAATGAGTCTAATTGCTTTCTGCTTCAGTCAGCCAGCTGGAACTAAGTTTGTTTCTGTTTCTTTGTCTTTCTTGATGGTGATTTTTTCTTCTTATATTTATGCTTATCACTTCCACTGCCAACAGGATGTTGCAAGCACACATGGTAAAATGCTTGGTTGTGTTTTGTTGAGTAGACTTCCTTTGCCTATAAACCATTAATGTAGTCTCATCCATCAGCTTAAGCTTTTGGGGTGAAATGGTTCTTTAGATGGTATCAGAGCTTCGGTGTCACGGGTTCGATCATCACCGCCCCCAATTTAATCAATAATTAATTATGTCTTGTAGAGTTTCTTAGCACAGGTAGGTGAGGTAGGTGAGCCTGTGCATTATCCACCCTTCAAGCTTAGTGGCTTCTCGTGTGAAGGGGCATGTTAGAGAATAGTATAAACCATTAATGTAGCTTCACCCATAAACTTAAGCTTTTGGGGTGAAATGATTCCTTATACAATGCAATTCCATTCTTCATAGTCTTATGATTTTTAGAATAGGAATAAGTTATACTTACTATCATTTTTTCTTACTACAAATTTTATTATTGTTGGATTAAAATAAAATCAACGGTTACAATTCTTATGATTTTTAGAATATTACTTCCTTATTTCTTGGTTCTTAAGATTCTTAGTTACAATATTTTTTTTGAATTCTATGCTGTATCTTGCTGAAAAGAGTGATTTTTAAATACTCATTGTGTTGATGGAGAGAGATTCTTTTCAATTGCAAACTTCTGATTGAACTCTTTACTTTGATCCTACAGTCTATATATTCTTTCTGGCTTTCTGCTCTATCCAGACCACAAAGTACTCTAAACAATCCTCGGGAAGAATCTGAGCATATATCCGTGCTTCTAGGTGGTGTTTGGTTGGGAGCTTTTTAGAGGATATCTATGTTTCTCAAGTATGGTTTTTAGAAATACCATGTTTGTTTCAACGTTTTTCACCAAAAACCCATCTATCCAATTTGCCTGGATTTATGAGAAAGATAGATATCCGCACTGTTTAGAAACCCAATTTGAAGGTGGGATTTTTCGGAAAACCGGTTATCTGGCTTTTAATGCACTGTTGATTTCATAAAGTTACCTAATTTTCCCAGTAAAGTTTTTCCCCACCAAACAATTTTTTTTTTACATTTTTCTACCTATCTCACTTTATCTATCTTTCCATTCATTTCTCTATCTATCTCATTTCCCTACTATTCCAAAAAAATTTCCTGAACCAAACACCCCCCTAAAGTTTTATGGTAGTTTCCATGGATTTTTCTGTTGCTTCCGGCTCACCTTCCTTCTCAAGTGCACCAAGAGCACACATTCCAAGCTTGCAAAAACCCCTACTTTATTATAGCATTTTCTGGTACATATAATTCACTAATAATTGAAATTTCACTTCTGTTTGCCATCTGAACCTCAAGATATTAATATAATGTGAATTATTGTAATAGGGGTATGCTGATAAACAATGTAGCAGGATTCCAGAATTGAAGCAAAGTCCTTCAAACCTGTTTCTTTTTGTCTCCTTCTCCTGTCCTTTCCTGGGTTCCCATTATGGATTTGAGCATAGACAGCTGATCTTGAGTTATAAAACATAGTAAATATTAAGAAAAGGACACCAATCAAAGCATAGAGGTCTTATCTTGTTTGCAGTATTTGTTGGGAATGGAACGAGGGAGCCCAAAACCCTTTGCAAAGGGTACATCCACCAATGGGCCAAATGACAAACCATAATAAGTGGGCCGACACCACATCTTAACCCAAAACCTTAAGGCTGCAGGTTTAATGGGTCTTTCATACTTATATGGTCATCACTTGGTCTATGTCTAGTCTATGTGGTACTTCTTTACAACTCATACTTGATTATTTTCAACATCCTCCCTCAAGTGTGAGGCCCAATATCATTCTTACTCTAAGGTCAACTTCTGCGGAAGTCTTTTTTTTTTCTCTTTCAAATATTAGGGTCACACTAGCCTTCTGCAGAGGCCTTCCAAACACACTTGGCCCAGCCCAGATCATTGGCTCTGATACCCCTGTTGGGAAATTCGTTCCCTCAAACTCCAATGTCAAGCGGGTCCAAGGGAAGCCCGTGGCGGGAGCCACCACCAATGAGCTAAGGCTACACCAACCGCAGCAAGTGGATCCGACACCATGTCTCAACCCAAATATCCTGTTAGAGGTGCTATTGCTGTTATTCAGATGAGTTCAAACAGATTGTTTCCATTAAAGATTGAAGGAATCCAATCTAGTTTAATGGCTGAAATGAAAGATCCTTCATGGTTGTGGCATTTTCGCTATGGCCATTTGAGCTTTGGTGGGTTGAAGACACTCCAACAGAAAAAGATGGCTGAGCAGGAAAATCGCGGAGGTCGTGGTCGTGGACGAAGAGGTCGTGGCGGCAGACGCAGTCAACCTACCGATGGTGATTATTATCCTGATGCGAGAGATGCTGAAATTGAGGAAAAGGACAGACGGATCCAAGAACTCGAACAACTGCTTGCAGAGGCACAGTTGCACGAGTTAGATGAAGGATGGGAATCTAAAAGATCATCTCATCAGGAGGAAAGGAGATTATGGAACCGAAACCAGGAGCGACGAGGACGAAGTCAACCTGGAAATCAATCTTTTTTTGCTAATATTGAGGTGAAGATTGAGATCCCAGAATTCGAAGGCACTACTCATCCAGATGAGTTTATCGACGGGTCACACACCGTCGAAAAGATCTTTGACATCATAGACTTGACAGAAGAATTATCTCTTCCAGGCCATTGACCGTTCTATCTTGGAAACCATTCTTTCCAAAGAAACTTCCAAGGATATTTGGGACTCCATGAAAAAGAAGTATCAAGGCTCTGCAAGAGCAAAGAGGCAGCAGCTTCAAGCTTTACGCTCGGAATTCGAAACACTTCGAATGAAGTCGGGAGAATCAATTGCAGATTATTTCTCTCGCGTGATGACCATTGTCAATAAAATGCGAATTCATGGAGGCAGGACAGAAGAAATAACTGTCATAGAAAAAATTCTTCGATCATTAACAGCAAAATTTAACTTTGTTGTTTGTGCTATAGAAGAATCTAAAGATATAGATGATTTGTCACTTGATGAATTGCAGAGCTCATTGGTGGTGCATGAACAGAAGTTCAAACAAGAAGACACAGATGAGCAAGCATTAAAGGCTTCTACCGATACTCGTTCCAACAATTTTCAAGGAATGGGTAGAGGCAAAGGTAGAGACAGAGGCAGAGGCAGAGGAAGGTCCACTAATTTCAGAGCCAATAATGATCAATTTCAAGGCAGAGGCAGAGGAGGAGCCCCTGATAAATACAAGGTAGAATGTTTCAGGTGTCATAAATTTGGTCATTATCAATCTGAATGTTATACTAAGCTGCCAAATAGCAAAGAAAAAGGAGAAAGTTCAAACTTTGCAGAAAAGGAGGAAGGTGAAACCTTATTGATGGTTGCTAAAGATGAAAAGCAAATTGAGCCAGATGTTTGGTATGTGGATACTGGCTGTAGCAACCACATGAGTGGTAGTAAGTCTTATTTCTCTCATCTGAATGAAAATTCTCAATCTACTGTGAGTTTTGGTGATCATTCTACTGTGAAAGTAATGGGAAAAGGTGACATTAAAATAAAAACCAAGAATGGTTTTTGTGGAAACAATATCTAATGTATTGTATGTTCCTGATTTGAAAAGTAATTTATTGAGTGCTGGCCAATTACAAGAAAAGGGTTATGTGATCACTATTAAAAATGGTGTTTGTGAAATATATGATTCTGTTAGAGGTGCTATTGCTGTTATTCAGATGAGTTCAAACAGATTGTTTCCATTAAAGATTGAAGGAATCCAATCTAGTTTAATGGTTGAAATGAAAAATCCTTCATGGTTGTGGCATTTTCGCTATGGCCATTTGAGCTTTGGTGGGTTGAAGACACTCCAACAGAAAAATATGGTGACAGGCCTCCCTCAAATCACAATTCCTCATTCCTTAGTATGTGAAGAGTGTGTTGTTAGCAAACAACATCGTTCTGAATTTGCAAAAGGGAACTCATGGAGAGCAAAGGGAATTTTGCAATTGGTGCATTCAGACATTTGTGGTCCAATAAATCCAATTTCTAATGGAGGTAAAAAATATTTAATTACCTTCATTGATGATTTTTCTAGAAAAACGTGGGTTTATTTTTTACAGGAAAAGTCAGAAGCTTTCTCTACATTTAAAAATTTCAAAGCTCGTGTGGAGAATGAGACAGGAAGGATGATTCAGACACTTCGCACAGATCGTGGTGGTGAATATTGCTCAAAAGAATTTGAAGCTTTTTGTGAAGAACATGGCATCCGAAAAGAGCTTACAACTGCGTATACACCACAACAAAATGGTGTATCAGAGAGGAAGAATAGAACCATCCTCAATATGGTTAGAAGCTTGTTGGTAAGAGGAAGAGTTCCAAAGACGTTTTGGCCAGAAGCAGTAAACTGGTGTATTCATGTCTTGAACAGAAGTCCAACCTTTGCAGTTCGAAATATGACGCCAGAAGAGGCTTGGAGTGGGAGAAAACCAAATGTGGATCACTTTAGAATTTTTGGATGCATTGCATATGCTCATGTCCCGGAACAGAAAAGAAAAAAACTTGATGACAAGGCTGAAAAATGTGTCTTTCTAGGTGTAAGTGATACATCTAAAGCATATAAATTATTTAATCCACTGACGAAAAAATTGTGGTTAGCAGGGATGTTGTTTTTGATGAAGAAAACACTTGGGATTGGAATATGCAGCAGCCTACCGAAGTTCTTTGTGATATTGATTCTGAACAAGAGCAAATTTCAGCATCTAGTATGCCTGAAAATTCGTCTATTGCAACTTCTTCATCTAGTCAATCCTCACCAATAGTAGTTGGAGTTAACGAAGAAGAAACTCAATCTCTTCGTCGTGTTAGAAGAAGGCCTGCTTGGATGGAAGATTATGATTATGAGGTAACTGGAATTGAAGATCCAATTACTCACTTTGCTTTGATACCACTGTTGGGAATGGAATGAGGGAGCCCAAAACCCTTTGCAAAGGGTACATCCACCAATGGGCCAAATGACAAACCATAATAAGTGAGCCGACACCACATCTTAACCCAAAACCTTAAGGCTGCAGGTTTATGGGTCTTTCATACTTATATGGTCATCACTTGGTCTATGTCTAGTCTATGTGGTACTTCTTTACAACTCATACTTGATTATTTTCAACAGTATTGGACTTCCTTCGGTCATAATTTTCTCTTCTTTTCCCAAAATATTTTTGTCTTCTTACTTATAAAAGGTATGGGTGGTCAACCCTATGCAATAGATAAAAAATGGACGGAATGTCCTCACTAGGCCGCCATACAGAGAAAGCTCCTTGCAATGGTGCTTACCACCTCTTATTAATGATCCCAAAAAACTAGACAAGTGTGATAAAGTAAAACTATCCAAACAGTGTCTTATCATCAATTTGAAAGACCAAAAGCAAGAGTATGCTTGTGCTTGGGATTAAATTTTTCACTTTGGAATGTGACAATTATATCATGTTATCAATTATCACTAGAAATATTTGCTTGCAGTAGAAAAATAGAGTGTAAATAAGGGAGTTTAATCCACAGAACAGATCCTGCATGAATTTTATTATTTATCCTCGTTTAGTCATATTAAAATTATAAGGTTTTACCAAAGGGGTTTTGATTCTGCTTAAGTAAGGTCTTGGATTCAAGTTCTTGTGAATGCAAAAAATTCTCTTTGGGAGAACTATCCCCACCATAATGTGGATGTTCCCGGCTCGAACAGGATTGTCTCTCTTGTTATCCCAAAAAAAAATTAAAAGGTTTTGGGCATGTCATGATGAAAATACTGTTACTATTTGTTGTCTTTGGAGAAAATGTGCATGCATATAAAGGGGTGGATTGAAGTGTTGGAACTGGTCTTTGCATTGATTTGGTCAAGAATGCCCTGGTTTTGCATGCTACATGGGTTCTATAGCTATTTCTATACTATACAGATCAACTTGAAAGCAGAACTTGGATCACAAGTGAGTCCAAATTGCATGTTTCTGTTCACAGCTGATCATAGAAAATCGAAGAGCATGATGACATGTAAAAGCTGTGCAAACCTATTTGCTGCAGTTCACACGTAGGCATATATGTATAAAAAGATGAACATGGGTAACCATTCTTATGAGTATGCTAAAGTTTGCATCACTCTTTTTATTATGAGTCTCCATGTATTTAAGTATGGAGGGAAACTGAAAAGTATGTTTATTAGGCATGCGGACTCATTTCTAAACTCAAAGTGACTTTGGTGAACATTTGTACCTGTTTTCTAAATTTTGTTACCTCGTATGAACAACTTGGATGATTAATGATAAAAACTTTCTGGTGTTACAGGAATTTGATTCTACTTATGGTCCAGCTTGGCACTGCATTGTGGGTACTAGCTTCGGTTCATATGTTACACATTCTCATGGTGGTTTTTTGTACTTTTCCATTGATAAGGTTTCTATCCTTCTCTTCAAGACTGCTGTTCAACCATTGGACCATTCATAACTTCCACAACTATGAGCTATGCCTAATTGGGAAAATCAACATCAACATCAACAACACCTTTATCCCAAATTAATTGAGGTCGGTGGTAGATGAACCCAAATGATGGGAAAATAAGTTTAAAAAATTTAAACCAACTGATATGTAATATTACAAATTGAAACATTTAAAGACACTTATATTCTGTGATATATTCAATGCAATTTGTTTTGGATTTTTCGTCTGGAGGAGAGCATTTTGAATAAATAATTTGTTGTGGCAAGTCACAAGATATTCTTATTGTTCAGCTCAGATGAAGATTTTACATAATTATCAGTCTGATGACAAAATATTTTTATAGTTGATTCTTTTGTACATTAATTTGTGTTTTATGGAGCCTATGTACATTGCAATCATTGGTTAAATATTTAAATATATGAAGTTTTCAAAAATCACATAATTTTTCCCACTATTAGAAGACATCCAGCACTGTGAAATCAACTATAAAATGACTGGACATGTGCCAGTTTTCTCTTTCCTCCTAGAGTTGTATCACTTTCTGCTAGTCATTGATGCTCAGTTCTTGCCATTCTTTGTTATCTATCTGAAATCTGCAATTGTTAGTGTTTAAGGAAATTTATTATTTCTTGTATCCTTTTGTTTTGGGAAAGGGATGGTAACAGAAACCCAAAATAATTATGATCGAGTCAGAAAATTTTATAAAAAGAGCAAAATTATTAGGTATATTTTTACTTATAAGTTATGATTATTTACATAATATATATATATACACACACACACTGACACACTCATAACTAAAAACTTGTATAATCTTTTAGGCGAAGGGGAGGGAGAAATTATTTGTATGTTGAAAAAAATAAAAATGATATACACAGCTAAAGTCATCAATACAGCTTATTATGAAATGGACCTGGTGTGTGCACACTAAAATCATGGTTTTCTTACTGAAAAAATCAAGGCATCATGAAAGAGTCACAAATTTGACAAACTTTCTGGACCATATCAACATCATAACAAGCATTTCAATGGATTTTCTGATTATATTGTCATAAGAAAAAAGCCTTAAGAAGCTAATTACAGGAATGATGTAAAATAATTCCTCTGGTTCGTTTGTACAAAAATTCAATGCACAACTCACGTTACAATTGCCAATATACAATTTGACCAACCTCGCCACCCTTTAAATCCTCTTACATGAGGAGCACAAAATTGGGTGTGCAACAGTCTTTCAAAAGGTAGTTAAGAGTGTGTCTCCATGAATTAGATTCTAATGCTCACTAGGTAATGTGCCTAGTTTTACAAGACAAGTACACTCAAAAGTAAAGCAAGAATCACTGAGCTTGTGAAACAACCACCATTGTAGTATTGTGGCAAGCATCCTGAACTTGTGGAATTGGTAGATGGTGCCAGTGCTGTGCCATTTATGCCAGTACCATTTTTACCACCACTGTTCATCACAAATATGAAAAGAAGAACAAAAATATATCTATAAGAAAAAACAGTTCAGATAAGATGAGATGAGAATCGAAAAATGAAATTACTAATTTGTCAGGCAAATGAGAAGATGCAACCAGCACATTCAATCAGAAAATAAAACTATATCAAGCACATATCAATGTAAGCTTGAGATCATACCTTCCTGGAAATATACAGGAACCATGACCTGTAACAATGATAATACAACAAAAATCAGTTTTATTAAAATGCTAAGCAACTTGAATTTGAGAATTGCAAATGGGAGACTTTCTTTGATGTATAACATATATGAATCAACAGAAAAAGGCCAATAAAGAATAAAGAGAAAAGCTGCAAAAGTTAACAAAAGAAACTAAAATGGCCATAATTTAATTCATAATTTTAAGAGACTTAGTTTGAACCAAATGTTTAGTAAAAAGATTGAAATTGCTAAGGAGCATATTAAGTAACTGGAATTTGAAAAATTCTCATAAATTTTCTATGATGTATGGCAAAGGACTAATGACAACCAAACACACAAAATAAAAATAAAAATAAATAAAAAAACAGATAAAATGGCCATTTGACATCTATAATTTCACCAGAGTTTTGACAAACAAACTGATCAGTAAGAATATTTAAATACCACTATTCTTATACTTCTTGTCTAGAATTTTTTTTTCCCAAATAATACAATTTTCGAAAAGAATCGACATTGCTCTTAAGATTCACCAAATCTGTCTATTGTGTCACAGGTGTAAGGGTGCAAAGTTTACATGCATTTTTCATTATGCATCTAGTTGTGTTGGTCTAATTTTTTAAATAAATGTATTCATAATTTATTAAAATTCACCTGTAGATATTTATGAATATGCAATGATTCTTACTTGGGTTTGTGGTGGTGACAGATGCAACTCCTTTGAAATCACAGGTCCCAGTAGATTTAGCCATCTGCTGATAATAAGCATTGAAAGCATAGGTAGCATGTGCAACTACATTATTTGGTTCATAACATGGTTGACCCTGCAGCAAAGGTGAACAATCCACCTTCCCTGGTCCACAAGCCCAATCTAGTGCTGCCTGTAGCATCTTATTATCGGCAGTATTCTTGGCAACACAAAAGGTTTGGTTCGTTGTATCATTTGCAAATATAGTACCAGCACCAGTCAAGTGTAATGTATACACTGGTGCTCCATTAGCATAAAAAAGCCCCCAATTATTTTCAGAGACTGGACCTGATCTTAAGTCTTCATTATAAAGCTCATAAATAAAGGTACTAATTGCAACTCCAGGTTGCTTAGGAGTCCCAGTATTGTTAAGGACATGCCTGATCAAGTTACTGTTGTAAGTGTTGGCATTATCAAGAGTTGCATCTGGCTCAGATGAGTCACCTTTGGAGGGCCATCCTGACTCGGTGACTAAAATAGGGATATTGGTAAACTTCAAATATGACATTGCAAAATAAGCAGCATCAACAACTGCATCAAAAACATTAGTATAATGAAGGAGGGTGTTGGTATCAACAGCTTCCTTATTTGGAGGCAAGGGACGGAACAGTGCGTAATCCAGAGGGACTACACCATTGGATTGCATGTAATCATAATAAGGATACACATTGAGCATAAGATATGAACCTGATGATTGCAAAAACTTAAGCAAGGGAACCATGACAGGATCCCAAGAACGATTGAAAAATGCTTGAGAAGGTGGGAAAGAGTCGAGGATGATAGAAGAAGAGTGTGGAGTAGACACTTTTATTTGCCTATCCAGATTGGCTGCCACAAGAGCAGATTGAATGAAATTTAGAGCAGAAACAAGGACAGGGGCTGCATTTGGGAGGGTAGTTAAGACTTCAGATCCAACAGCTATGGCAGTAATGTTGGTTGCAGGAAAATGAGCTATCACATTACGAGTAACCCAGTTGGCTGCAGTGGCATTGGATTGACCAATGCCAAGTAGCTGGTCATTGGGAACAGAAATAATGACACGGATTCCAGTGTTGGCAAGTGCAAGAAGCATGGCTTGGTCAGCATCGTAGAGTCTTACATGTTGGATAGTTTGAGCCTTAAGAAGGGCCACAATCTCTGTTGGACTTGGCATGTTAGTGACATCTGTACCAATGTTGACACCAATATCTGCACAAAAAAAGCACCAACAACTAAAGGACTTTCAACAATTAAACCATCCAAGATAAATAGGTATTTCATCTTCACAACAGAGTCAAAGTTACCATACGATACTGAAAAAACAAAACTATGAAGAGCATGAAGAACACCGATACAAAGAAAGTAATGCAAATGCAGCTGCGTCCAAAAGAAATAGAACATGAAGGGCATCGAGTTTTTCTACATGTTACAGAAAATCTAAGTATGGAAAAGGATTTCTTTTCTTGCTCTTTAATGATTCAAAACATCTAGCTCTTTATGCCCATCACCATATGTAACTCAATGATCTTGAATTACTTACAAGACCAGTTAGGTATAAATCATAAATCACGATTTAAGGCACATCAAGGAATGCAGTTAAATTTACACTGCTTTCAACAAAGGGATACTAAAATTAACCTTCCGAAAAAAAGAGAAAGGGGGGGGGGGGGCTGGCTATGATGGCATTAAGCAGACAAGCTGAGCACATTAAGAAAAAAAATCTACCTTGATTTGTTAATTTGCAATATTAAAATGGAATAAAATAGTTCATTCTATTCAATATCTTTATTGGTTAAAGAAGAGGAAATTGTTTAAAAATGAAAATTTAATTGATAGCTTTGTTAGGGATGAATAATAATGAAAGCTTCATTTTTTAAAAAGACACATCCACATCGAATTCAAAGAAATGTCATAAGCATAACATGTCTTTCTATCAATATGCACATTTTGGTAACTAAAAATACTACTTTTTCCATCCGCATGAGTATCAAACTACTTCGCCATCTTCTATGCTTGTATTGGCAGCATTTTTTGTTTTTTTTCGGGCAAGACCAATTAAGATAGTGTTTCTTATAGTAATAAATGACACGACATAACCAGCTGGCCAGAGAGATTACTTGTGCCCCATAAATTAAATATGAAAATATTATAATCTAAGATGTGTTATCATCCAAGTAAAGGAGAATTATTTTTTTTACTAAAAAAAAAAAAAAAAAAAAAAAGGAGAATTATTTTCACTTATCTCACAAGCTAGGTCAAAATACCTGTCTACCTGTAAAGATAGCCAGCTATAACATTTACCTGTAGTGTTAAGCTCCACAAGTGAGACAACTAGAAAAGAAAATTTAAAAAAATACATCGTTCTACAGTATATAGTTAGAGACATAAGCAGCTATAGCCTATATCACAATGACTCCCTACGTTTGCAGATAGTCAAAATTCTGGAATATAAAATAGTTGGAACAAGGTAAAATTATAGAATATTTCCACGTATGATAACCTTAATAGTTAATATTTTATCATGAACCATGACAAAAATCAAGGTTAGTTCACCTGTCATCCCATGTGACATGTGTGTTTCTTGTATCTTATCTGTAAGGTTGGGACATGGATTTAACAAAAAGAAATGTAACACATACTCAAATGATGGCTAGTTGGAATGTCATATATGAGAAGAACCTCTTCTACCAGAAATATTCAATGTGCAAGAAATTCACTTTTATTATCTAGTTTAAAATCATAAAAATAATGATTTAATTTTCATTTTGCAGGGTAAATGCAGAGGTTACAATGAAGTGCTTTGATTATCAAGTCTCATGTAAGCAAGGTCACAATGCCACTAACTCAGTACATCATTAATTTTTTATATTTTATTTTTAGTAAATGTACATCACTAAGTTTAATTGGCAGACCCAATTGATTTATATTTTCCATCATTGGCATTCTCAAGTAAGGGTATTTTAGTCCCATTGCAATTTTATTTATTTTTTTTACAAAAATGTAGTTAAGTGCAAACTGCAAAAGAATTGCCTGATGAGCTGGGACGCAATAACATTGTTCCCAAAATCCCACTAAAAAATAGGAAGGACAGATCAAGAGATTCTGCACAAAGGAAAATATATATTTTTTTACAAAACCCCTCTGTTTGGCTAAGTACAAAAAGTTAATTTTTTACTGTAATTAACTATTTGACGTGAGTGGGCCCCTTATATCCCCATAAATTCCAGTTCTTTGAGCCGATTACGAAACTAAGCACTGACACAATTTATGCAATTCGCTCCTCCCCAAAGATGTATTTGGTGAGAATCGAATTCAGATTCTCTACTGTCGGTGTTTTGCAATTGAGCTATACCCATTGGTTAGTACAAAAAATTATTTAAAATACCTATTTACACCAACCGTTTCTCTATCTCTCAATTTCAGCATTGTCATGCTCTTGTGGCAAAGTATTGACCTTAAACAGTTAACCTCAATCCGGTTACTCCTTTATTCTCAACACAAACATATCAATTACTCACGCAATCAAATAATTTCATTAATACCCATTGGTCATTTGCCCACTGTGCCCAAATTAATGATTAGAATAACCACAAGACAGCAAAGATTAACCATTCAAATCAATGCCACTTTCAACGAAGTTATGGGGAAAAAAATAAAAAGAGATGAAAACCCACATGGAGAATCTTGAGCATGACAGAAAAAACACAACTTTCATAGGTGAAGTGGGTATTGATGTAAGGATGAAGTTAATATAATGAAGAAAAACACAAAAACTTGAAGCCAGAGAGTACTAGAGAACCAAACCCATTAGTCATTATGAAATAGAAAACCCATTAATGAATATATATAAATAGATTAATCACCAACAAATCAGTGTTAACCAGAGCCACGAAATGCCCAAATGAACATAGAAACAGGTACTGAAAATTACAGAAGAGAAACAGAGAAGGGTGAGAGAGAGAAAATAAACGCTTACCTCCATAAGCAGAAACAGAGATTGCAAACAGGTAAAAAAGTAGCACCACACCCATTAAAGCTTCCTTAGAAAAGCCACTAACACGGAGCTCCAGTTCCACTGCAATATTGTTTCAAACAAACCCAGAGCAAGAAACAGTGGAAAGGAGCTAGAAAACTTCGAGGGAGCGCGAGGGAAAAAACAAAAAGAAAATTTGCACCTTTTGAGACCCTTTGGGAGAGAGAGAGAGAGAGAGAGAACAGTTGTAACTGGGAACATTTGTGGTGTGATGTGAGGTAGACTTTCGTTCTTGTCGTGGTCAAAACGCAATAGGTGTTACTTAGAATTTGTATCTACGATCATGAATGTGTGTGTCAGGGATCCAACGCCCGAGATTGAAATGCAGGTGCATGGTTATGACATGAGGCTATTACAGGACAAGAAACTCAGGCTTTATTAAACAAATGTTTGAATTTTCATTCAATGTTTGTATGTAATAAATTAAGGGATTATTATTTCTTATGTTATAAGAGATAATTTTATCTCATATATATTTATATATAATATATATAAATGTGAGATATATTGAGATATATAAAAAGAAGAGAGAAAAAAATAAAAATTTAATGTACTTTAATATATATAAAAGATAAAATTATTTCTTATAAATTAATTTCATAAACTAATAATTGAAGATGAGTGTGTGAATAATGCGCAGTGCTGCCACTGTAACCGTTGCAGTGTGTGTACACTGTTTGGTGCAGTTCATAAGAATGGTGATTGGTGCTCACAATCTTCGAGAACACCACACCTTGCATATTTATGTAGTAGGCAAAAGTGTGTCTCATTTTAAAAGATGTAAAGTTGTGTTATTTTAAGAGAGAAAAATAGAGAGATAAAAGATAGAGAGTTGACAAAAAAAAAATAAAGTTGTGGATCTCATCTCTTTATTAGAGTGAAAAGATATAAGTTATGTCATTTAAGGATAAACATTTTTACTTCTATAATATTGCATAAAGTTATACTTATATTACTATTTATATTTTAATATTTAATGCTAGCTAACGCTAGAATTCTTCATTTATTTATATAATTTTTATTTATCACTTTTTTAAAATTAATTAATGTATAATAGGCAAAAAAAATTAAATATTATTTTTTAATAAATATTTACAAAAATATAGTCATTTTAAATATAAATATGAATTTATAGCACTCAAATACACCCCACAGGGGGCATGACCTCATAAAGAGAGAGACGCCTCATAGGAGGTGTGTTTTAGGAGTGAGTCACGCCCTACAAAGAGCGTGTCTCATCAGATGCTAACATGTGGCACAAAAAGTCAACAGTTCAAAAAAATTTAGAAAACCATAATTTTTGGCTCGGGTGTCCGAATTAGGTAAGAAAATTTTATTCCACATAACTTTTCGAGGTCTACCCAATGAAGTCTCATTGAAGGGCATATGGTGGGGAAAAAAATCAAAAATTTGGATATTTTATCGTAAAACTTCGGAAAGCCATAACTTTGACCTCGAGTGCCCGGAGTAGTTTTTTTTTATTCTGCATAACTTTTCGAGACAAACGTGTTGACAAGTTCCTCGAGGGGAGTTGGTCGGAAAAAAAAAATCCAAAAAATTCTTCCTTGCGCTCCGTTTTGCATATTTTATATCTGTGAGTGTGAACTTATTTAAGTTGAAGTTTTATCTCCTATAAATATACTTTCAATTTGCAACAATGGTACCATAATCATAAGGATCTTTACTATGAATGTTTCTAATCATGACAATGTTTTTCTCTTTATTAATCTGGGTTTAAACGTTTTTATAGTATCGTTGTTGTAAATTAGAATTTTTTTTGTGAGAGAAAAATATGTCAAATGAGGTGTCATTACGTAGATCTCGAAAAATTGTGAGGAATAAAAAAAAATCACATAATTCGGAAACTCGAGTCAAAAGTTATGGACTTTCAAAGTTTTACGTGTCAACACCTAGTGAGTCACACCCTTTGGTGGTGTGTCTCTCTCCATCAGGTCATGCCCCCTGTGGGCATGTTTGAGTGCTATAGACTTGTATTATATACATTTAAAACGACTACGTTTTTGTAGTTTTTTTATTAAAAAACAATATATTAATTTTTTTGCCATGTATAATAAGTACTTAATATTGTTTCTTATATTATATGAAATAATTTATCTCATACAACATATCAAGTGGATCGACATGATATGATATGAATACACGCAACACGAATTTTTTTCATGTCATAATCTTAGACACGAACACGACACAATTTTTTTGCAGCTTGACACTATACGACACGAATGACATGCAAATTATGAGTCAAAAAATAGCAATTGACAACAACAAAATTTAAAAAAAAGGTCAAAATTAAAAAAAAAATTGAGAAAAATATTTGTCCTTTTAAATAACATAAAGTTGTGTCATTTTATGTGAGAGAAAGACACAATCTAGTCTTTTTTATTTAAAATTTAAATTTAAAAAAAAAACTCTTACTTTCTCTCCAATAATGTTTTTTGCTTGTGTCTTTCTCTCACTTGAAATGACACAACTTTATGTACAAACACTAAACCCTAAAAAAAATATCGGTCGAATTCGTGTTGACGCGACACGATACGAATTTTTTGCAGGTCATTTGTCCAATAAGCACACGACATAAATTTTTTTGCGGGTTAACCTGAACACAAATTTTCTTATCGTGTCGCAGGTCAACCCATGTGTCATAATCTATTTTGACACCTCTACAAAAAAGTATTTCAGATCTATTTTATTTTTCTCTTTTCTAAATAGGTCTTACCCACTTTTTTATATATTATCAGATACAATATGAAAAACAGTATTCCCTCGTAATAAATTTTATCATCAATCATGACTGAAAATTCAATACATAATAACATGAGAAGAAATAAATTTTTAGTACGTTGACGTGTAGCAATTTTATAATTAAAAATCATTTAATTGCATTTACTTTATTTATATTTTAAATAAAAATATGCATGTATTTTTAATTTTAATAAAGAATTATATATTATAATAATACTGAGAATTTACTCTATAATTCCAACCTTTAAGAATATTTATTTATTTTTCGATAGTTTTGACATACAACGATCCTGTTTTGATATATTTTTTTTCTTGAATTTTTTAGTATTTATTATAATATTCATTTACTAGATGTTTAGTCCCGTTTCTGTGATTCTATGTTCATCGATTTATCGTAGACCGTCTATATAATTCTTTTATCGGCAGCCACATAAATAGTGACGTGAAGTTAGAATTTTATAGATTCTGTCTATCACATGTCGAAATATACTTGACTATAGCCGTAGTCTGACATCCTTTTATATTCTTTTATTATTAACCGATACACGTTTTTTCACAGTAGAGGATAATTTTTTTTTTTCGGGAATCTCAATTTTCAAAAATATAATTTTTATATTCAGTTTACGATAATATCTAAAAATTTAAAATTTAAAAAAATTCAGTTTTTCAAAAATCCTGAAAAATACCGCGTACCAAACGGGAGTGTTTCGTATGGAGAATATGGTAGATATTTTGGGAAAGTGGAGTGTAAAATTTTTGTTTACTATGTTTGGTACGGAGAATGTGATAAAATGTAGGTATAATATTATTCTCTTGAATCTATTTTTCAACGTGATCCCGGTGGTATTATTTTGTACCCATAAATCATGAAAAATGTTTTAGATTTTTTAGACAAAATTGCCGTCATATAAGACATGCAGAATGTCTTAAAAATTTGTGACAAAAAACACGAAATCGTCATTTTGTTTCAAAATCACATCAATATTTTATCACCAACCAAACACAACATCACTAATTAAATTTTTCTAATTAGTGAATTTTGTACCAGGTATTTTGTAGGATTCCCAATAAACTGAATTTTTTTAAATTTTTAATTTTCAGATATTATCATAAACTGAATATTTTCATCATATTTCTAAAAATCGAGATTCTCGAAAAAAAAAATTCTCCTCTACCAAACGCCTCCTAAAATTAACTCAACTTTCCCAGTATAATTTTGGCATACCACAAACTTTTTCATAACTTACCTGGGCAAAAATATTTACTACCATATTCTTAGAAAAAAAAAATTCCCGGTAAAAGAAAATATCTTCTATACCAAACACCCCCTTAAAGTTGGCATGGCGATTCTATAATGAAGCAGATTCTTTGTGGCGGGAAAATACAACAATGGGATTGACGTCTCTATATTCACTGGGAGGGCTGGTTGTTCCCGGTTATGGTTAACTCTCTGTCAGGTTTGGTTGTTTATGAAAAACAAGGTCATCTGAAAGATTGGAGATAGTACTTCGATTTTCTTCTGGAGGGATAGTGGGCGCCGGGACTCCAGCCCTTAATTGACGGACTCATTAATCCAGTCCTGGAAGAAGAATCCCACAAATGTATATATGATTACGTGGATGACAATGGCAATTGGCAAGTTTAGCTATTGCAGACATGTCTACCTGAAAATACTATACAGCAAATCCGGAGTTGCTTGCCACCTGCTTTGGAGGATGGAGCGGATCGTCTGCCATTTGTAATGAAAAGGCATAAATCTTACTGCATGCTGTTAGGAATTGTCCCATTATAAAAAAAAAACATATGGGCTGCTATTCTGCCTCCTTCAGAAAGGGAAATCTTCTTCGGGACTGATATGCTTGAGTGGCTACAATGAAATTGGAATCATAAGGTGGAAAGTACAAATACGGTCCCATGGGTTACACTTTTTGTTTTGGCTGTTGGATGATATGGCAATGGCGTAATTCAATTGCACATGGCCAACCATCACCTCATTTTCTTCACTCGCATCTCCTTGTGATTGATAATACGCAGCAAGTGTGCGATGCATTTGCAAATGATACCTCTCTTCCGGTCCAGCGTACTATTATTTGGCTTCCTCATCAGAATAATTTATTAAATTATTCCAGGGGCAATTCAGGGGTCGCTGCTTGTGGTGGGGTGCTGTGAGACTCAAGTGGCAGCTAGAGAGGTGGATTTTCTTACAAATTTGATACTTGCTTAGCATGGAATGCAAAACTGTAGGGTGTTTTGAAAGGGCTTCAGCTAGCTTGAAGTAAGGGTGTTAGGAAACTAATCATCAAAAATGACTCAAGCTTTGTTGCCTTGTTG